ATTGTGCACAAACTTTTGAACTCTGAAGCTGGAATGTAAATATTTTCTTATGGAATGGAATGGAACATTAAAAGAGAAATGTTTAGTGGAATCTCAGGCTATGGTAGATAATTTAGATTTATGAAGAACAAAGCAAACAATTAGCTAAATTGCAATTTAGGAGGAGTACCTATTGTGGATTTTTGTTTGAATATCTGATTTCTTAGATAATAAAAACATTTGACTTTTTAGTCTGCAACGCAACGAAGATCATCAAGAAGGAATCGCTCTTCAGAAGGAACATTTCAGCTTTCTAGATGGACACCCATTGTTAAAGATATCATGGAGGTAACTTTTTCGTGAAGAATGCTTAAGCAGAAATTTTAAAGAGAGTATGTGAGTGTGTGTGTGTGTGTGTGTGTGTATTTAATGGAAAATTCCTCACTTTTAGGCATGCTGAATCCTTGGGTTACAGAAAAATGTTATTCTGCAGAATATGAAAGACTACAAATGTCCATTACTCTTTAACAAAACTTAACTAATTGTATATTTGGACATTCATACACACACACACTTTTTTTTTTTTTTGCAGTTCTTAGCATTTGAGTAACATGCAGAAAGTACTTTCAAGAAGCCAAATAGTTTAAAAGTCCCAGAATATATTTAAATATTTAAAATACTGAAAAAGAAGTGCTTTTCTTCAAAGATTTAATAGAAAGTTATACACGTGCAAACACACACGCACACACTGAACACTAATAAATATTGCTGAAAATATACAGCATTTTTAATTCCTTAAATTGACTATATATCTAAAAGCTCTGTCTTCCTCCTAATATCAGTGTAGAAGTAGAAAATTATTTAGTTATATGAAAAGATGCTTTGTCTTGGAATAAGAACATGAAGTGATAAGTATTTGGAGATATGAAGTGATAAATATTTGGAATGTTTAACATAAATTATTGGTAACTATGAAATGTCTTTTCATTGAGAAGTGATTCATAAATGCCAACTTCTGTTCCAATCTTTTGTTAATGTATTACCCATTAATCTAAGAATTTTTTCCTATTGTATACAAGCTTTAAGTCTGGTTGCTGGTTACAGGTAGTGTGTGAATTGTATAACAGGGTCATATTTCTTTGTTTTGTAGGATGCTATAGAAAATAAATTAGATTCAAAAGAGTGGCCTTATTGTTCCCAGTGCCCGGCACCCTGGAATGGTTCAGGAGCAGTGAGGTTAGGAATTTAAATGTACTTGGCACAATTGCTCCTTTTTTCCTGATAATTAGTTTGAACAGTTCTGTGTATTTCCCTTTACAGTGCTCGTCATAAGCCCAAAACTAGTTACTTGGATGAACGTAAGGGTGGTGCAAAGTTGATTGTGTTTGTCATTGGAGGCATTACATATTCAGAGACACGTTGTGCTTATGAAGTTTCTCAGGCATACAAGTCTTGTGAAGTTATTATTGGTAAGCCTTCTTTTAAGAATAGTTTTATTGCTTTAATATATAAAAAAGAGGGGGAAACTTTCAAAGAACAAAAGACAGAAACAATGAAAATGAAATAACACCAAATATCATAGGGAAAGCCATTCTGCCTATCTTTTGAATACAGATAATTCGTGGGATATGATCATAATGGAGCCTGCCTATTATGGTCACATGACATGGCAGTCATTAGGTGAAACATCTCACTTAATGATCACCCCATCCCTGCTCTCCCTATTGAAATGTTAAATGAACGTGTGGATCATTAAGCAGAGTGCAGGGTGAATCCTGGGTAGGTGGGCAAGGCATTGGAGGCCTAGCACAGGCACAGGTCCTCTTGCCCTGGTGCCCCCAAGGCCTTTGCCACTCCCAAGATCCCCTGGCTCCACTTCCTGTGGCACTTAGCACACAGCCACATTTAGGGTTGCTTGCAGCATTCCATAGTCACATGACTCTCTTTTGCAATGGTTTGCCCCAAACCAGCATTTTGGGTTTTTGGCAAAACAGTGCCCATAACGAACAATGAGTTTGCACTTAGGACCACTGCGTTTGCTTAATAATCACGGCATTCGCACATGATTGCTGCATCTGCTTAACAGCTGCCACAAAAAAACATAAAATTAACTCTTATGATTTGTGACCATACTCTTTTTATTTCTTTACTTTACAATCTTCCCATTTTTCTGCTAAGGTAAATTCTAGAAAGGTCTAAAGCAGTGGTCCCGAACCTTTTGGGCACCAGGGACCGGTTCCGTGGAGAGGTTTTTCCGCAGACCGGAGGGAGAGTGGTTTCATGTTCTGCCTGCATCCCACGGATGGGGCTTTGCTTGTTTGCACAGACCGGTTTCTGGCATGCTGCGGACCGGTGCCGGTCCACAGACCTGGGGTTGGGGACCCCTGGTCTAAAGGGGTAAGACAAGGCTGGTTTATCTTGCCTTTCTTTTTCTCTCTCCCCTTCTCTTTTGTATGGTCTTTGTGCTGTTCTACCTGCCAGGTTTTTTATTGCAATTTAAAAATAGCATTAGCATTTATACTTACATACTGCTCCATAATGCTTTACATCCCTCTCTAAGCGGTTTACAGAGTAACCATTTGCCCCCAACAATCTGGGTCCTCATTTAACCGACCTTGGAAGGATGGAAGGCTGAGTCAATCATGAATCGGTCAGGAGTTAGCCTGCAATACTGCATTCTAACCACTGCCCCACCAATGGTAGAAGCCTCTTAAAGGAAACGGGGAAAGAAATAAACTAGGAAAATCAGATATACCATGCTGGAATTTAGGAGCAATGGTGCACAGAAGCCAATTGCATGTCTAAGCAGTCTGCCAGTTTTTCTGAACATCTAAGTCCTTACTTTTCCTGTTCACATTTAACTGCTGTGGTTACGAATGTTTGCCTTATTTCTGCATTCCTGATCTGGACTACATATGTTTCAGCTCTATATTTAGACCACTGTCTTGATTGAGGATTTTCAAACTTTTTTCAGGCTGCAGAACATTAGCTAAAAGAAAAGTCCCTGGAACCTTGGTTCGAGTGGGAAAATGATAAATTGTCATGGGTGCAAATTTCTGAATGTTGCTCGATAAACTTGGACTCATTACTTTAGAAATCATCCAGGAGACTCTTGAGTTCTAGTCCCGCCTTTGGCATGAAAGCTGTTCAGTGACGGGCCAATCACTCTCTTTCAGTTCAACCTACCTCACAGGGTTGTTGTGGAGAAAATAGTAGTAGTAGTATTAGGTAAATTTGTTGCCTTGAATTATAAGCATATACTTATAAGTATAATAAAGGCACACTATAAACATCTATTTAAAAAATTGCTATGAATGCCCCTGCAATTGCTTTGTCCTTACTCTTCAATGGAACTGTATCAAGTTCTTCATTTGTTTTTCTCCTGCACATTAGAAAAATCCTAATCTAGTCTGCTATCAGTGATGAATGTGGTAAATTAATGTTCATGAATGTTTTTTTTTTTTAACCAGGATCCACTCACACTGTGACACCTAAAAGACTTCTGGATGACGTAAAAGCACTTACTGTGACAAAACCAAAGGATAATGTGTATTTGAAGGATGAGTAGAAATCATAGTGAAACATTCACTTCTGCTTAACTTAACAGATAAAAAAAATCATGCTATAGATATTATGGATGTAATCTAGATGGGCATAAGCATTTTAAGGTCCCCTGGTTTCACTGGAAGAAAACCATTTAACATTTTTGCAACTTCTTTTTGAAATCAGTGGGTATTTAAGAGCACTCAGTTTGAACTGGGCTGTAATCTGTGTATATATTTTACAAATAAGTGTTATTTAGAATTGTTTTTTATAATTTGAGATTGCTGCTTTTCATTGTGGTGGGGAATGGGAAGATGGTAAAAATGAAGTGCATGCAACAGCTTGTGTTTTATATTGTGTTTGCGTTATACAGTAAATGGCCTTTTGTTGTGAAATGTTCACTGTAGAGAAGGTTCATCACTACAATATATTACATTAAGACTTGGAAAACATGTTTGTACATATGCTAATAATTTCAATAATAATGTGTACACTTTCTATCATGGAAACATGTCTGTTTCTAAATATATGGTTACAAAATGTTATTAAATTAAACTATGGAAGAAATTTAAAATATACCGGTAAATGTGTAACACAATTTCACAATTAACAGATGTAGAACTACAAAATTCTATGCAACTTCAATTTCACTGAAAACAGTTTGCAGTAAACTTAGAAAAGTTAACTTCTTTTCTGAGACATTTGATATAAATTATAAAATATAGGCATCTGGGATTGCATGGATCTTTTATGGTATTTGGATAAAATTCAGGTATGTAATAAACACTTTACCATAATTAAAGAACATTGGAGAATGTGTTGTCTTGTATTTCTAGAGAATCTTTAAAGACTGCAGTACAGACCAATTGGTCTGTATTTCCCTCCCCTCTTCTTTCCTTGGAACATTGCCTCACTGGAGTCTTTCAAACAACATTCAGTATTGATTGGAGCAGGAGAAGCAGAAGGTGAAGAGTTATGCCATACAGGGGTAATTGGCAGCTTAAAGATGTTCATAATGGTACAAACTGGATTAGAATAAAAAAAACATGATTGCTTATTTAAATGATGCTATCCTTCACTAGCACATACATTTGGGAAATACAGTTCCTAATTTGTTACCAGAATCATTGGGTAATTTATTAATTTAAAACCCATATTTGATGCCATTATGGTTTATTATTTAATAATAGAATGCTGTCTTGGCTGCTCACTGCTACTTGTTTGGATCCCTGTCCTTCCTGGCTTGCACAGGAAGTTAGTGGGATGGTGCTAATGTGAATGAGTAAGATTCTGAAACATGGCAAGTGCATTTAAGAGGCAAATATGAGTACCAGTATTGACTACCTCCATTTATGAATGTAGCTAACATATCACTTGTTAGCATAATATTTTATTATAAAGAACCATTAACTTTTTAAGGGAACTAAAACATTTTGTGATCTGAAACAGAGTAAGATACTATGTGGTATCTAAAATGGTCCGTGAAAATAATTAGATTTATTTGGACACAGAATTTAGCTACATCAAAACCAACATGAGAAGTTTCTTTTTCCAGTAGTCTATTTTAATTTTGGATGGAATACCTCTATTCTAGATATAATTTATTAGTCTTCAAAATACACTGTCAGTACTGATGAGCTGTGCCATTGGATAATGTCTGAATTTTGACCTTGGCTAAATCTTCTGAGACAGCTTGCATCATATGCTCTGTTGTTGTCTTCAAATTGTTTGCCATCTGTATAGCATTATCCAAAGTGCAGTTTAATATCTGTTAAAGACAAATTTTCATAATCATCAAATACATTTTGTTAACTAGTTTAAACAATCTATTTTTAACTAGTCATTTCATTGATTGGTATTTATAGTCCCCCTAGTCAGCATACAACATAGGGCAGAATACTTCACCAATAAACAATAAAAAGTCAACAAAAATCACTTAATAGACCAAAACATAAAAAAACAAACAAAAACAAAGCAGGCACATACAAACACATAAAGTGCTGGGAGGAGGGGGGACTTATCCAATAGATCATACTGCTTCCATATCCAGTGCCTTAAGGAAGAAAACAGGATTTTAATTTTACAGGATTTTAAAGGCAAGGTCAGGGCCAATCAAATCTAAGCAGGGATTCATTTTAACAGACATACTTCCTGGGACCTATTGCCTAAACAACAGGACTGAGAGCTTGACAACTCAAAATTCTTAAAACATCTGAAATACAAATTTCTCAAACTTTCCACGAACTACTAAACAATATTGCTTTTGTAAATAATGATCTTGTCTTACCGTGCTATTTATGTCTTTACTTTGCCTTTTTCTCCTATTACTGACTGACTTCCTTCCATTAATATTACTACCAGAGAGGTACTGTGGTGAAAGGATAACGGTATCATGCATCTTTGAATAGTGGGTTTGGGGAATATATAGATTCTGTCTAAAAAGACAGAGCACAAGAAAATAAAAAATGTTCATATAGTACATTCCATGTTTAATATGCAAAATGTAAAAACCTGGCAATCCAACAATTTAAATCAAGATGTTAATTATGCACTATTTGTCAGGCTGTTTTCAAGCATTTAAGCACAATAGAAAAGACATCCAACAATGACAATTTTTCCCTTTTAACTTAAATATATCTGCATAATTAATGTTTCACCGAAGTACAAGTTTGCACGATTGGCTATTGATTGGTTCAAACTGTAACAGACCTTACCTGTCACAGTATTTGTCTATAAAATCTTCTCTCTGTTCTTTACAAATCCTTTGATGGGCAAGGCTATTCTTTCGCAATGAACCTGAAAATAATTATAAATCAATATGTCATTAAATAAACATATCGGCAGTTCCTGCCCTAAATATCAAAATGTTTTGAATTATTATAATGCTGCCTTTTAAATATTAGAAAAGAAGGCTCGGAAGATAGTAATACAATAATTTTGCTAGGAGATAGCAACTTATAAAGGCTATAAAAAGATTAAGGTGTGTCACTAAGGAGGCCTATATTACACACTATGAGCCAAATTCTGCTTTACTGTCATCAAACTTTCTACAGCAAAACAAAATATGTTGCAACAAATGGAGACCTTGACTTATGACTGATCGTTTAGCAACTGTTTGAAATTACAACGGACTCCCAAAAGGTACTTACAGCCTAGTTCTGTAGCTCTGATGGACAGTTCCCCTCTGTCATGTGACCGCATTTACAGCGGTTTATAGCATCCTGGATTCAAGTGACTGCGATTTTTTAATGTTTTGCTGAAAACTGGAGTGTATGATTTTCTGCAAAAATGACCCACAACGAACAATAGGTTCGCTTAAGGACTGCAGATTCACTTAATGACCACAGTCATTCACTTAATGACCATATCAGAAAAGATAATAGATCACTCACATGATAACCCACTTTGTAAATATGACGACTTACGTCCGTAATGGGAAGGCTCCATTATGGTCGTAAATTGAGGACTACTGGTATAAACTGAAATGTATTTGTATAATGAGATTTTTTTTTTTTTTATGCTATCTTGCTGCAAACTCTTTCTACAGATTTGTTCTGTAAAAGCAAAGCAATCATCTGAGTCTGCTTCATCACGGGGAGGTCAGTCTCACCCAGAATAGGCAATTTACCATAATCCTAAACCCAGAATTTTTCACCAGCTTTGTGGTTCATTGTTAACTTTTTAGGTATAGTTTAGTTATAGATAGCTAATATAACTGCTAAATTGAATTACATAATACATTGCAAGACTGCAGCGATTGAAGTTTGAAGGGGAAGTTGTTCTGGGACCCTTGCAGCCATATATATTACATTATTTGACATTAAATACAATGGACCTTTTTTTCTAGGTTTGCATCTAAATTCAGAAAAAAAGCTCATTTAAGGAATTTCTGACAGCATCTCTCCAAATCATCCTTTGAATCTAGAATCCTTCAAAGCCATAATATGTTAAGAATGGGATTGCCATTGCAAAATGATTCAGAAGCTCCAGGTAGTACATAATTGTAACTGGTTTGTCCATAATGAACGTGTCAGTTTTGACCCAAGTACATGATCCTAAATTCACTACTGAGTTCCTAAAAGCTTATGAATTAGCACATCCTCTCGTATCTGGTCATGCCTTCAGAAGTTGTAGAGGCTTCATCACTGGAGGTTTTTAAGAAACAACTGGACAGCCACCTATCTGAAATGGTAAAAGGTCTCCTGCTTGAGCATGGGATTGGACTAGAGGACTTCCAAGGTCCCTTCCAGATCTATTCTGATTGGATTGAATTAGAAGGCCTCCCTGGTTTCTTCAATAACAAACATGTAAATCATCTACAAAGGTAGACATTTTATTTTCTACAATGGTATTCTAATTTTGGAATTCTAAGATGTAAACTATTAAGTGTGAAATAAAATATTGTATGAGTGTAAATAAATGCATGGATGTGTATCAGTGGTGGGATTCAGCCAGTTCGCACCACTTCGGGAGAACCAGTTGTTAACTTTCTGAGCAGTTTGGCAAACTGGTTGTTGGAAGAAATCAATAGAGCAGAGAACCGGTTGTTAAATTACTTGAATCCCACCACTGGTATGTATGTTTGTGTATGTATACCTGGGGAGATACATTTATAAGCCTCTCAATTCTATTTTATGCTTAGATTTTAGGTTGCTTTATTATATTGGATTTGTAACATTTGTGTATACTTCTTTTTCCTGGATAAAGACATGCTAGGTATTTTACCTTTATTTAGTTCTTTATGTCCATGATGGATCCATGATCCATGATGTTTAAGTTGATGTTTCAGGTCAACTTTACTAGATGAACTTCCTTGTAGGTCACAGGATGAAATGTCTTCTATTTCATTACCTAGCCCACAAAAGTTATACAGTCATGTTACACACTATAAATGTATCAACCTTAAATATGAGTATGTATAATATATTTCATTATTGTATCGTTTTTATAATTTATGATTGATGGCAGTCATTGAAAGAGCCCCAATATTAACCATAATATATTAATTAATAATATGGAAAAAATTGGTTGCCATGACCTCCAGTTGATGCATGAACTGAACTGACTAATTTAGGCCTTTCCCTAGCTAAAATATATCACTTCATCTTCTATCTGCTTTATTATTTTAATTAGCATTCTACAGTGTCTTTCTGTTTGTTCGTTTGTTTGTTTGAAGTCATAAAACAATTTTTAAGCAATGTGTACAAACCAAATAGGCTTATTTTTAAAATGTTGATATGAATAGGCACATGTATAGATCCAATTAGTTAAATATGATAAACAAATCAATAACTCACTTTAGAAAACTATAATTTTAATAGCCTAAATGGCTGTCAGCTGTTTCAAGCTGGCAAGTTTAAGCTCACTGTTTTTTTATTGCAAATGCACCAAAGCAATTTCTGTAAATATTTTTGTGAATATTATTTAATGTTTTCTGTGAAATATTATTTAATAAGAAATAACAATATTGAACTTGGTGCAAGTCATACACCTAGGAAGTTGTGGGTATGGTAATATAGAGCATTATTCATGATATAGCAACAGGTTCAACAGGAATGCAGCTGCCTACAAGCATTTGCAGAGGCAATCTACTGTAGATAATGTAAGAAATATTATTGAGCTGACCTATCAGATTCAAAGGTAGGATGGCTAGATTGACCAATGTAAATGCCTTTCGTTAAAAGAAAAGAATATTAAAAGGTAGTTTGGAATAATGAAGGGGATGTGATAAAAGTTGCCTTTTGGAACTTCAGATTTGTCACCTTACAAACTCAGGACAAGAAGTCATTATTTGGCTTCCTAAACAGCTGTCTTCAGACCCATTTTTTTAGTGCATTTATTGAAAGGCTACAGAAGGAAAAGTTTTTTTTTATGTAGAATTAAATTTGTCACTAAGAACAAGCTGACCCAATGAATTATTTCCATGATTTAATTTCAATTTCAATTTCAATATCTTAAGTGACATGTTTTATATTATATGTCTGTAGAAGGAGAGCCTAATTCATTAAGAGATTGTGGATAAATCAAGGGACATGGAGGATTACTTTACTCTGCCCTAAATGCTTGGTGTTTTTATAAGAGAGAAGTGACTATCACAATTTCCTAAATGCAGTGCCAGTTCTGATATAAGAAATTGTTCCAACCTGAAGATTGAAGAAATTACCACAAGGTTTCTTTAATATACACTAGATTCAAGGCCATCTGAGAATCCCAACCCTTTCTTCTTCTGATGGAGAGCAACTTTTTGAGAGGCTAAAGAAACTTAAATCTTACTTTAACTGAATTTAAATAAATGATACCTTATATACCTGTTACATCTAAATCCACTGGTTTTCCTTCAAAGAAGATCGGAAATCTTTCACAATCAGAATGTCCTCTAGTTGCTTTTCTGTATTCTGTTTTATTTCTAGATTAAAAAGGAAATATAGCACTGAAATTGAACAGCAAACATGCAGGTAATGATGCAATCCCATGCAAGCTTACAGAAATACAGAAATAAATCTTGCTAATCTTAATTATCTTCTTCCTAGAAAAGTTTTTCTTGAAATCTAATAATCACTTATCGGGGAATATATATATGATTCAGTTGACCTCATTTCTAAGTAAATATGTAGGCTTGCAATGTAAGTCTATAAGGTAAACTACCTTGGTTTTTTTGCATTTTATATTGATAAGGGTGCTGATTTGATTCATTTTATGTATATACATACTAACCTATTAGAATAACAGGAACATATTTTATTTCTTGATAACTGCATTTTCAATGTAGGATGTATAATAATTTTAGACTTATCGATAGAATGTCTCACTTTCTCAACGTTATCTGAAGCTGACCTTCCTATGGAAAATATTACAAGTTAAAAACTGATCAGTGGATGCTTCTTATTTGAATGATTTAATTACTTATTAAAACACAAATGTTTGTTTTTATCTTGTTCTACCTTGTTCATTCAGTAAAGTGAAATCAACCTCATTAGATTCTTTGCTGATTAAATTTGCTAGAGCTGAAGATCTTTTTTGAAGATCATTTAAATTCCTGATGGAAATGAAAAGAAGATTAGCATTATGTTGTATCAGATTAATTGGATTGATATTCTGATACTTGGCCAATTAGGAGCAACACATGAATAAATGCATTTACCACCAGTGGATATAATTCTATTTATAAAAATCTCTGAACTTTATTTAGTGAAATTGTCATATTGGACAATATTTGGTTTTAGTTCAAGAGAAAAATGCCTAAAAATGAAAGAATATGAGAAAGGAAAAAATAGTAAATTTAATATATTTTGGGAAGTTACCTATGTGTATTTTCTTGTTCATTGTTGTAATTCTGTTTTGTTTTATGGGATCTGTGGTATTGGTCAAATTCTTCAATCTTACATATAAAAATAAAATAAAATATAGAGTGGTTAATAAATGAAACAATAAGAATGACAGACAACTTAGCACATTCATTTAATTTATAGCAATGTACCTTATTACATAATTAAACTAATTTATTGAATCATTAAGCGATTAAATATGAACTTGACTTACAAGAATATGCTTATTTTTTTGTTGTCTTGTTTTGTCCACAGATGACATTGTTCTTAAATGGATATTTTTTTTCTGCATTTCCAGATGACTATGGAAAAAGCAAAATACAAATCTTTAAAAATTTCTTCCTTAATGTACTTTTTTCTATGAAGAATGGTGTTTAATTTCAACCCTCATAGCAAGTTTCTTCAACTTTGAAGAGTATTATTATACTTGTCCCAATCTTAGATAACAGATTTAAAGGAAGCTGCAGTGGATGTCATTTTATAACAAACCTTTAATCATATTCTTTAAAAAAGAGATTAAAATCTTCATCAGCAATCACTTAATTTATGTAACAGGCATTTAGAAAAAAAAATCAGTATAACAAATCGTATGAGTCCCAAAAAAGCTGATACAAGCAAACCACCTTGGAAAATAGTTAAATTTCCTCAAACTGATGTCATGTCCATTGGTGTTTAAAGGAAAAAAAAACATTCTTAATTTATACCGGGTCAGACATAAAAAAACATTTTGAATCCTAACTACGGTAGTATATAATTTAAGTTTTAATGCATTCCATTCTTTTATGCAAGTCTAAATTTCAGCTTGTGTTTGAGATACCTCAATTGGTAAGCCATTATTAGTGTTTATTCTTCAAAACATAACATAACAGTCTTCTTTTCAATTTATCTTTAGAGAGTAATCAATAGCCTATTACACTTTACTTGGAATATTATCTCAACTAAGCCAGAGGGACATCTTTACTAAATTTAATCAACTTCAGTGATTATCGTAAAAGTTCAACCTTACATTTGCTGGAATGGATGGTTGCTGTCACCTTGTATAGATTTTTTATATGCCTTTTGTAGAGTTCCTTCTATAGGATGATTTTTATTCTTCCAGTAGTTCTCATTTTGGGAAATATTTAGTTCGGCAACATTTCTTTTTGGAGATTCATTGGTACTTGTAATCAAAGGACTCTAAAAGAAGCATAAGAGAAATATAGGAAGCACAATACTTAAAACATGCAAAAATAAATGTACTGAAAGTGCTCTCTCTTTGCTTACAGAATGCTGATTAAGATTATAGGTATATAACCTGGCTTGCCATAAAACCTGGATAATTGAGAAAATATTTTTGTTGAAGAAACAGCTGTAATTTTGAAAATAATTTTCTTGATGAAATTAACAAAAACAAAACCCTTATAAGAGTCAGTGTCTACTAAATGTCAGAAAATTATTTTTTAAATTCCTTTGGATTGAAGACTACATTGTTTTCTTTCTTCACTAATCAGTCTTTAAGACTTACAAAATATGGGATAATGGATTACCGCAGAACAGCTTGAACAAATAGGAGATGGGTGGGATCTGAGTGACGGTGATGTTATATATGTTGAGGAATATGAAGCAAACGTCTTCTCAATTTTCTCTTTGATATCTTCAAGGAACATCCCAAGTTTAAATATTTCCCCTTCTACTTTTCTAAATACAAAAAAAGAAAAAACCCACTCAAAACTATATATAACATTAATTTTGCTCTGTTCTTTCATTATCAGATGTTATCAGATGTAAGATATGAAACAATAGAAAAATAAATGAGAAATTGGAAATTGAAATACTACATTTATGAGAGATAATGTTTAATATTTACTGAAAACAGTGAAGTTGAATGGTAAAATACAAAATGTCTGCAGTAATGAAAATACTAATTAGATTAGCAAGAAAAGGGCCTGGTGGCTCAGCAGACTGATAGCATTGTGATTAACACCAGTATCTGCAATTACTGTAAATTCGAATCTCACCAGGTTCAAGGTTGACTCAGCCTTCCATCCTTTCTAAGGTAGGTAAAATGAGGACCCAGTTTGTGGGGGCAATAAGCTGACTGTATAAATATACAAAAGTATGAAGGCTATTGCTTAACGCATTGTAAGCCGCCCTGAGTCTCCGGAGAAGGGCGGCATATAAATCAAATTAAAAAAAAAAAGAGTTTAGTTTTGGAGGAGAAAATTGATAGACAGTTCTATAGAGAACAAGGAAGAAAAATGGGCCCTATACTATGAAATAGTAATTGCATACTTTTGAACTTCCAGCTATATTTTTCTATGTTGCCTACATCTTTTAATAGCAATAAATTATCACTTTATAATTATAAAGTATTAAATATTTACCCAACAAAAAAATTATGACAGTAAATACTGGATTTGGAAAAATATGTATTTTTAACTGAAATCAAGCATCAATAGGTTTTATTTCTAGGTACAGAGGATCGGATTGCAATATTAACGAAGTAGTACAGTAAAAAAATTAATAGCTATGTTATTTCAAAACATTAATACTGGACCTGTTAGGATCAAATTTTCCAATAGTTCTTGATGAATGGTTATGGTTCTGAAGTTGCAAAGCATAATGCTTTTCCTTGGTAGCTACATAATTATGTTCCAGTTGCTCCAGTTGTTCTTTTAAAAGTTGCAAAAACTTCATTCAAAAATAATAAAATCATTTAATTCCATATTAATTTTACTATGAATCTATTCATGTAATCTATTCCATTAATAGAAATTGAAATGTCAATTTCTCCTCAGATATATAATAGCAATAATTTTGGAAGAAACAATATAAATAGAATTACTGAATCTGGATGACATTAAACTTTCTAAACTGATCTCCAGCTTTAAATGTTGCTAAACATGACTCATCAAACTCATTCCTTGAGTGCTGTTATAATTTTGCTTCTTCAGTTCTTAAGTACCTCTTCTATGAAAATAAGCACTGGTTAAAATATCTAAATTGTACATTATGCAGAATTCTACATGCCCTTTTCATGCGGGAGGCGTCCATGCACATGTAGGCTTCTGAATTCAATTTAACACAAGAAGAGGAAGCATCACACAGATCTTCATAGATCTGTTTGCTCTCTAGAAGTGGTCATAGTAGTACAGTACCACAGGATTAGGGACTCTATACTAGTGGTTTCCATTCTGTCATACAAAACTATACTGAGTCCACACTAAATTATTTTATTAACTTCCAACACAGGATATTTAAGTCATAGTTGCGTCCACCCATTTACATCTCAAAATGTATGCAATTAATTAGCTTTACATATTATAGTATTCTGAAATGATAAAAATCACACAGTATTGCTTATATAGACAAAAGACTGGATCCAGGCTGCCACAGCAATTCTAACTCTGCCAAAGGCTGATATAAGAAGACTGAAATGGAATGAAATTGTTGTGGTGTTATGTGAATAATTTCAGGGACTGCTATATTGATAAACATTTTCCTAACTTAGAAAACCAAGTTCCCATAACAGCTAAAATGGTGTGTAAAGAGAAAATTTGAATTTAGAGCTTCCTTATTTGTCTGATAAAGTCACAGTATGAATTGTAAAATTTCCCTTGTTTGTTTCAATGAGAAAAACAATTCAAAACACACTAGTTTAAGTAAGGAGGAAATGCTGTAGGTCAAGGCATATAATAAATCAATGGGTGTGTGAATGATGGGTCTCTACCATGTAACTTTCCTTTCAGCCTAAGGTTGCTTAATAAATTAAACTGAGTTCTTATTAAAAATAGATAAGAGTTGAAAGGCACCTTGAAGGTCTTCTAGACTAACATAACACCCTGCTCAAGCAGGAAACCCTATAGTACCATTTCAGACAAATGTTTGTCCAATTGCTTCTTAAAAATCTCCAGTGTTGGAGCACGCACAACTTCTGGAGGCAAGTCTTTCCACTGATCGTTATAATTGTCAGGAAATTTCTCCTTAGTTCTAGGTTGGTTCTCTCCTTGATTAATTTCCATCCATTGCTTCTTGTACTGCTTTCAGGTGCTTTGGAGAATAGATTGACCCCCTCTTCTACATCATGATCTACATCATGATGATCTACAGATCTACATCATGGAACTGGATAATCTTCCAATGGAGCTCCTGTCTTTTAAAAGTATATATAAAGTTGAATTTACCTGAAGGTGTTCTTGTACTGAAAATACATTCTGTTTAATACATTCAGAAAATATTTCAACCTTTAAAAAAGGAAAAAAAATACATTGCATTTGAACTTGCAGATGGGATGTTAATAAAATAGGTCAAGTTCCAAACATTTAAAAATTAACATGTGGCATTACATTTACTTTCAGCTCTTCAGTTTGTTTCTTTAATATCTGTTCCGTGTCATCTGTTATATTTTGCAGAAGAGGAGTGTTCACAGATGGTTGTCTTACTGCATCAACTAACGGTAATGAAGAAGTTATATTTTTAGATGGTGATTCTACCAAACAAAATTTAAAAAAGATTAAATAAAAACTTGGAAAATTTTCTCAAGACAACAACCTGCTTTTTTGTAAAGCCTATTTAAAGTACCTGGATGAGGGGCCTGGGAAAAATCAAACATGTGCTCTATAGGAATGGTTGCAGGAGAAAAGGCAGACATTTTGGAAGCTATTCCAGTACTTTGTGCTTCAATACTAAATTCTGCTATATGTGAATTTGAACAAGGAGGTATCTGTGAAAATATACACATTCAATTAAAAGTGCAAAATCAGCATTAACAATAGAATTCATTCACTTGCCTCTGTTATCCCATACTTTTAGCAGCCTCAAACAATAATTTTGTAATTAAAAAAATAATTTCTAAACATTTTCATATTTTCATTACTCTAAATATTTATATATATACATCCTGCAGTAAAATCTTCTGTGTGGCTTACAGAGTAAGCACATAGAAAACATAACTTGTAGCCAGATACTAAATCAGAAGATAAAATAATGTTATCATGTTAAAAGCTTCTAAACATTACTACTTTGTCAACTCTAAAAATTACATGCATACTTTAACAGAACCTGCAATGTCCTAAAAAAACAAGGCAAACACATAGATAAAATATTTCTAAATCAATATAAAATAAGTCAGAAAATACATTAGGGAATTAATTCTATTATTCCTGATTTCTCAATGAATAATTTTGATCATGGGATGCTTTGAAAGAGAAAATTAAATTTTGAGACTGAAAGCTGTTGAATAGCAAAGAGTAAAGCAAACAAACAAACAAACATGTTTTTATTTGAAACAGGAGAAAAAATTGGGGTGATTTTCAGAATTGGAGGGAGGAGAGGAATTAAGGGAATAAGGTAAAGTGGACGGTTGGGAACAAATTAAGGCATTATTTAAGACACCAGTGTTGTAATAAAACAGAAAGAAAATGGAGGATAACAGCTAATTGGTTTTTATTTTTCCTGCCCAACTTTTGAAAAATGAAATTTATAAATATATTAATCACAAACTGCAGCAATCCTAGTTACAGAAATCAAGAAGTGCGGAGTTGCTTCACAAAAGATAATTTGGCAATGGGGACTGAGATTTGCGATAGTGATAGCGAGGTTCTCACAACATGGCCCATGAATATTTCAAGGAATTTCTCTTTCCTTAAGTACACGGTGTGGACTCTTTACTCACCTTCAGAAGCCCTCTTCCAAAAGTGTAAGGTTATAAAATACACAAAGGTTTCTTCAACTGAGGTGCCTTATTTATGGAAAACACTCCCTAGGAAAACATACTTTCATCTATGTCAATTTATTTTCATTGCCAGGCAAAAACATTCTTTCTGAACAAGATTTTAATATTTTTGTATTCTGTTTAATTTTAAATGCCCATTGTACCCTGCAATAATAGAATTTAAGTTTGGTGAAATATGTACCCTATCATACAGTTTGATAGGGCTTGGGAAAAAGAAAATACATTATTTTTTATTAAGACGTCATCCTCAATAATGAAATTGATTTCTTATTCTGAGAGATTTACCTTAGAACCAAATCTTAGTTGATCAATATGATTTTGAACCTCAGCTTGTCTTGTCAGCACCTGTAGTTTGAAAAGGTGCAGTAAATTTTTTTTGAATGTGGTTAATATTTTCAGCATAACATTAGTTGCATTGTTACAATAACGTAAGACAGGAGTCAGCACCATTTCGGGTCTCCAAATCTCCTTAAATCTTATGAGGGTTTAGCAATATTACTCTTAGATCTCATGGGATTTTGCAAACTAATGCCTAAAGATTCCATACATTTGAAGAAGTGTAGAATTAAAAAGTAGTTTAATTTTGATTGGTTGCAGCTATCATTTTGGGGACTGGTGGACACTTGAGCATCCATAGGTGCAGATTTGCTCATCTATGTCATAGGATACTCAAAAGCATTCTTACTTCTATATTCAGTAAGCTGCTAATAAGTACTGCAAGAACTGTGAAGGAAAAAAAAAGAATTAGTTTCAGAAAAAAATCAAAGTAAAACATATGCCATTAGACAGGAGAACAACATATCAACTACTGTAGCTTTATTTATTATTTATTAAACCCATATGGCCATCAAACTGGACAGATTCAAGGCAGCATACATTAAAAGCTAAAAAAATATATCAGAGTCCAGAAAATATGAAAATGAAATGATGTAATGGGAAAGTATATTACAAACATAGGATTAGAAAGAAGACTGGAAAACGAGTCCTTTCTAATATGTAATATGGCTGAAAAGCTAGCAGACTAATTTGAAGAAAATGCCACATGCAAGGAGAGTCCTGAGGCAGTATGTTGTCATAAATTAGCTACTACTGTAATATTGCTAGAGATTTATACTGGAGATAATGAATTCATGATTTTGAAAGTAGGAATTGTTATCATAAATAAATATAATTCACGTTACTATGATAAAGAACAATTAAAATTATTTCCACAGTAACCAGTGATTTCCAAGGCTGATTCCAGGATAGCAATGGACTCTACTAAAAAAAATAAAGGAGGGAGGGAGAATTGGCAAAAAATCAGAAACTAGTCTTAATGTGTAATTTTTATTTGTTAAAGTTCCATTGAATTTCAGTTCATTTAAATATTTTTCAGCACATGTATGTTACACTGCATTTATTGCAATATAAATGTATGTATATTTATTAAGAAACATTCTATTAATAAGACTATGAAAGTGGTTTAGGATTGCAAACCCCACCCCCAAACAAGAATCCAGAAGAATCCCCCTGGCATTTAATTTAAATTAAATGTTTAAAGTAGATTTTCAGCATTGATTTGGAGATCTAACTCAAAAATCAGTGATTGAATTTATCCATATAGAAGCAAACTTAGTTTATATGCAGACAAATCACTTTTAATCTACCTCTAGCTGTTGATCAAGTTCAAAAGTTCCATTTTGGTCATCTTGATTTCTGTTTGTATCAGATTCCAAAAATGTAATTGCTTCTAGAACATCTTTACCAAGCAAATCTGTGGAAGATTTAGTTCTTTTAAATACAAAGCTTTCATTATTTCTTTTTAATTCTTTGACTTTTGGAAAAATCTCAGAGGAATTGCCAAGTCTATAATAAACCTGGTGTTCATTGCATTGGGGACTATGAAAATTTTCAGTGTTATCCAGAAAATATTGCTGATTTTGATACTCTTTGTGGGTAGAAGTATAATTTAAGTCTTCATTAAGTCTGCCAGGTTCCTTCTGAATTAGAAATTGTGAGTCATCCATGTTGCAGTATTTGCTGTTACAAACAAGAGTACCCTCATCTGTTAAAGATAGCTTATCTTGAGTCAAATCCCAATTTTTGACAATTGAGTTACAACTTACTTTCCTTTCACTATATTTTATTTCTTCTTCTGGGGAAAATATCCCTGTATTTTCTGAACTCTTATTTTTTATTAGCACTGTTTCATCAAAACTGTCAGTAAATGATATCTCTGGGATAGTCTCAGAATCAATTAATTGGTATGTTAAGTCTTCTGTTGGAAAATGACGTAAAAGGACATCTGACATTTTTGAGTTGGAAAACTCTTCATTTCTTCCTGAACTGGTAAAACCGCCAACTTGTATTTCCTTTCCTGTTGTCATGGTAAATTCTATGTCATTTTTTTTGGTCAATAGCACTGTATTTACTTTCCTTTGAGACAATTGCTTTTTGCAGTCTGAATTTTCTTTTGACAGACTGCTGATAGAAGATGTCAATGTGGAAACAGTTGGGGAGACATGTTCTAAAGAAATAAATTCTTCCAAATTCTGTGAATCACAACTACATTGATCTCTATGTTGTAGATCTCCATCATAAGGCAAATCTTCTTGCTCATTATCAGTATTGTCTTCAGAGTAAAGCATATCAAATAATATACTATTCACTTACTTTTCATATACTGAATGTTGTTATATTGAAATTACTTATATTTTGATCATATTCTGCATGATTTCAAGCTCTGTAAGATTTGAGAAAACAAATTTAATAATCTGAATTATGAATAAGATGACAATTAAATATTGTAAATCTTCCATTTCCTTTCTGTAAAACTTTTATAGACTCATCATTTGATATTTGCATTTGTTCCAAAAATGTCTATGTGATAACCCAAGGATCTAGTTTGGGTTGAAAGATATATACTTATAATTCTTTACACAGTTTAACTAGATGATCAAAGTTCTATTGGAAGATTCATATTATCTATTGAGAATTATGCACATCAGAACAATTATATCATCCATGTCAACTGAATTACGCCTTTAAGTGTGATTAAAAATTAGATACATACAAAATAGTTATTTTATATAAAATTTCCTCCAACATTCCTACTTTCTATATAAATCAACTCATTAATGTGCCAATTTTGAAACACACCAGGATGATAAATTTTAATTTGAATCTAGGTCATAGTTATAAAGTGCAAACAAGCTTAACATTAACATCTGCATGCTTTTTTTAAGACACTTTAATCTTTCTTTCAATACACATATTCTCCAAATAAAAGTCACTCTGTACTCATACGTGCATTGTGCTAATATCTTCAATATATACAGAAAATAAGAAATTTCATTAGATAATAAAAAATAGAAATTATACACACTGTATATATCACATAATGGTAAATCAATAATGAACCTTTATACTTACATACTATAGGAAAATATTTGTTTAATTTTCAGGAAACAAGGATAGTTATTGCAAGCAAAATAAAAATCCTTACACAGGTTTCTGTAATCTAGTTTAGTTGTAACCAAAATATAAGGCTCCTCTTTAGTAGGTGTATTTTATTTCGTCAGTTGTAACTCTATACTGAACACAGCTGACCTGGAGAAGTACAGTATCTTTAATAATGCAACCATTCACTTTGTTACTTGCTTCTTTGATCCTGCCATTATTCAGTGATAGCGTAAAGGGAATCAAGAATAAATCAAGAATTTTGAAAGCCTGAAATCAAATTCAGCTTAATCTATTTATCAACTAATGTTTATTTTCAGTGGGACTGATTATGATGTTTTTAGAAGTGAAACATTAACATTTGAGGCTCTCATAAACATGTCTATCTGCACTGTAAGGACTTTAAATAATTTATTTGTGAAAATTAATTATTTAGTACTACTCCAGACACCATCTGGGACTGCTTCCTAAGATCATGAGCAGACCTCTGCACCATAAAGCCTTCATGAATTATCTCTAGATAGGTAATTTCTAGGAATGTAAATGTAACAGTTGTAAAGGGATGACATCACTAAGCATTCCTGCCAGAATTTGAAAATTCTTTTAAAATATAAGTTTTCTTAATAATTTTACTGCCTGTTTTAGTGAAATATAATTTTCTCATAAAACAATGGTTTGCACAGTAAGAAGCACTTATTACCAACAGAGATATGCTAGAACACGTAATCTGAGAATGGACAAAGAAGTAGTACACCTGTTCCCACTATAATCTGTCTTCCATAAAACTTTCTTCTGCATAAGTACCCTGTCTTCCCTCCCTTCCCTCTACTTCATTCCCAATGTATTTAATAATATTACCTCAGTCAAGACACTTCATGCATCTGATGTAATGAACTGCAGCTGACAAAAAACTTACACTAAAATGTGCTATTCTAAAGAGGTGTTACCAGGTTCTTTCTGATTTTAGGCATAGGTATAAAATCTCTTCCTGTATTTATTACTAGTTTTTTGCTCTTCTGCAAAATTAGCTCATAATTGCAACTAGTGTTAAAAACTGTGAGGCCTCAACAAAAGAACCTTATTACTGCGTTGAACCAAAAGCACAGCAAATTCATGAGCTTCAGAAATGGCCTCTTCAGAGAGGCTTTCCCAAAACAAACACCAACTATGAATATGCAAGCCAACAGAAAGACGGAACGTAAACTGGTTAAAAAAAAATCTTACATAATAAACATTGGTGAGTATTGATGCTGATGATGCTATCGATACAATACTTTTTAGTAATCTAATTCCCAAAGATATAACTGTAAGACACAGAGAGCACTTTTTGGCAGTTTTTTTGGTGGTATATCTAACACCATGTACAGTATAATTTTCTCCCAAAGAAGAAAGTAGCAATCTCATATGTTCAGCTGTTATAGAGCAGTTTTGCTGTACCATACAGTATGAAATAAGCCTTGCGCATACACTGTTATTTGACAAGGTACAATAGGAAAGTCTCATATAAAGAAGACTGAAGTAAAAAAGATGCCTTGCACCTGGGTATACATTTTCTCCCTTTGAATGTTTAGCAGAAAAAAATATGCTGATTACATTTGCCACTATCCAATGCATACCCCATGATAGGCACAATTTTTCTATCACCAGCATATAAATAGGGTAGCCCTTTTCATCTGAAGGAATGTTTTAGGAATTAAAAGCTGCATTTTAAACAGTTACGTTTTTTCTTATTAAAGAGCAAATGAAGTTGCTTTTCTGTCAGCTACATTTGAAAAACTTGAAATTCCTTTCAATTCATTTCATTATTAATATTTGAGATACAAAGCTCATATACAAAGTGAGACACTGATGGCTGTGCACTCTAAGAAGCCCTCATATTGAAATCTATTTGTATGTATACCGTATACAGTTGGGCAAAAATATACCGACTTGGCAAGACCAGAAAATTTTATCTATCCCTATCTGAAATATAGGGAGTGTTCAAACATGCTGAATCAGGATTTGTTTATTAGGCGTCACAGGTAAACTGATAAAAAGCAAATTTCAGAAACATTAAATTCCCAGTGAAATACTTAAAAAGGTATCTAGTAACTTATTTTAGCTATACAGCTAATTTTCTGAATGAATGCAGAAATTGCATACAATACTCATTGTAAGAAAGAATTATGAATCTCTGATACTTGTATCATAGGAAAAGAATATATTGCATGGTTAAAGGGGATAACAAATTGTCTAGAATGTATGGCCTGTTAAGCATTTAATAATATGGTTCTCTTACATTAACCATACTCATGCCACAGATAAGTTGCACTACTACAGCAAGTTTTTTGGATGAACATGCTCTGGCTGTCAAGCAAGTATTAAAGATGATTTTCCGCCCCACCTGTTCCTGGGTGAATACATTTATTTTGAAATAGTGCCAAGAACTCTTGGTGAGTAACTATGATTATTTTATTGCCCCACCCTTTTTCTTGCCATACCAATTTCATTAACGCTCCTTCTGTAATTTAAAAGAAAAAAGAGCCAAAGTCCAAATACATGCTCAGCTTCAATGAACCCATTCTTAAGAATTACTTCTAGGCTTGCAGAGCTCATCCCGGTACTTAAAAATTAACCCAACCCACTGAATCCATGTTACTCAGTACTAGGCCAAAATGCAAGTGGTTTGGTGGATCAATGCAAACACAATATTGTTATGCAAACACAATATTGTGTGAAACTACCTCACAGGGTTACTGTTGAGAGGAAAGAAATTGGACAATACTATGCATATCACCTGGGGTTCCAAGAAAAGGCAGGATATGTATCTAGTGAATGAACAAGGAAAGGCATGACTATAATACAATTCTTGAAAAGCAGTTATCTGCTTTCTAGAAGGAATCCTCAAAAAGGATTTGATAGGTGTATTGTACTGTATATATTTAACACACTTATTAACTGCCCCATTTTATACCTTTGGGTGGGGACAACAGACCAAAAATTCCAAAAGATATATAAATAATGAAATAATCATAAAAGATAAAACAAAAATATGCATGCATAGAAAAACCCCATGTAACGATCAGTTGAAACCTAAAGCTAGTTTATAATAAGTTTGAGGGATACATATTTCTCAACTCATATAGGTGATTGAAAACATGTCCCAAAGAATGGAAGCAAGCATATGTGCCTTCATTTGCAAGTATATTCATCTTTTGAACTAGTTCAGAAATGGAGGAAATGCATGATTATTTTTCATACGTTGTCAACAGCTTCATTGTCACGATCCAGAACGACTTCTTCATGTACAGGTAGTTCTTGACTTACGACAAAAAGAGCCCAAAATTTCTGTTGCTGAGACAATTGTTAAGTGAGTCTTCCCCCACTTTATGACCTTTTTTGCCACAGTTGTTAAATGAATCACTTCAGTTGTTAGGTTAGTTAAGTGAATCTGGCTTCCCCATTGACTTTGCTTGTCAGACATTTGCAAAAAGTGATCAAATGACCATGGAACATTTTGTAACCATCATAAATGTAAGTCAGTTGCCAGCCTCTGAATTATGATTATATGACCATAGAGGTGCTGCAATGGTTGTGTGAAAAACGGTCATAACTTACTTTTTTTTCAAGGCCGTTGTAACTTTGAACGGTCACTAAATGAACTGTTGTTAACTCGAGGTCTATCTGTACTCTACTCTCCCTGTGCAAGAGCCACCGAGCGCTCACATGAATGGTTAAAAAAAAAAAGTGACAAAAGGGCGATCTATTCTATATTGCATGATCCTGTCAATACACATAAGTAACCATCTTTTCCTTTGCTGCGGACCTTTCCCATCGCCCAAAACCGATGCGAGGGAAGCTGTCGCTTTAAATCTCTCTACCCCTCCCCTTGGAATATAAATCTAACCGTAGGAAAAGGGAGGAGAGGACAGAGCTCATCAACTTCACCCTCCTTCTTCTGATTGGCCAATGCAAAAGATGCCGAGGGGAGCGTGGCGGGCGGAACAAGAGCCGGATTAAAAGACAAGACGGCGCCTTAAAAACAAGAGAAAAGGGCATGGCTGCGAGGCGCGTGCGCTGTGCGGCGCGAGAGCGCGGATGGCCGTTTTTCCTTCCCCCCCCCTCCTCCTCCTCGTCACGCAAGGAGGCGGAGGGGGAGCGCCCTTGACTGGGCAGGTGAAAAGCAAAAGTGGGGAGCCCCTCCCTTTCTGGCTCTCGGGGGGTATTTTCGCGACGCCTGTGTTGTGAGCTCAGGAGACCGAAGGGAGAGCCGCCTGCTTGCTGTCCGAGGCAGGTTGAAATGAATGTGAGCGAAAAGGAATCCCCTTCGTGGGCACCGCTGAGCTTGGTATAAATGGGGAGTGTGCCAGCGGCCTGTTTGTGTGCGTGGAGGGGGGAAAAATGAGGGGAAAGGCAGAAGCCGCTCCCTGAAGGTAGTGGGATGGAGGAGGAGGAGGAGGAGGGCTGCCCGTGTTTGGGAGTCCGCACAGTTAAAAGGGGAGCCATTTTGAAAGAAAACCATACCGGGAGGAGGAGGGGGCAGGCAGGGATTCGTGTGAGTTTTGTTAGGAATGGGCTGCATTTTGATTAGTCAGATGCTCCTCGGGGGCGGGGGGAATACGGTTTACCCTTATTTAGGGACATAGGTATTATCTCCGTAAGAAAAAAAAATAAGTGGGCCAAAATGGAGAGACAAAACGAAGGCTACGTGCCTGGTAGGTTTTCGGTGAAAATCACCCGAGAATCCTCTCCCATTAATGCTGGCACCGACTGATTTTCTTTGCTCTGGAAACGATTTATAGTTGTGTTGTCTTCTGAAAGTTGGCGGCCCCCCTCATCAGTATTTTAAAAATTTGGATGTCCTGGCTTGGATGGATGTTATGACAGGATGTTTTTAGGATCCAGTAGAAGTTTTTACTTAATAATTGCTTAATAGCCTTCTCTTACTGTACAGTTCTTATTTTTTTGATTGTAAACTTGTGTAGCATTAGATTCTTCTTTCATTGTTAAGTTGTTGGTGTAGGTGGAGTTGTGCCAAAGCCGTATTTTCAGGACTTGCTTAAACGTTAGCGATTTGTAGTACATTTTGGCCAGCAGATGAAAACACTAATGCAGCAGATGATACATAGGTCTGATTTTCTATTATGAATTTGCTATTCAGAAGTTATAACTAAACCTAGTGAAGCTTGCTTAAAGCCCTGGACTACTTTGTAATTTTTTAATGTATTTTTTTTATTAAAAAAAAACATGAATACAAACTAATATAAACTAAGTAAAAAATTAAACAGAAAGCTGACAGTGCAAAAAATGAATTAAAAAAATACAAAAGTACAGATAGTCCTTGCTTAAAACCATTCATTCAGCTTCAGAAATTATGACACTGAACAAAGGAGCTTAAACGAACTCTCTTGAAGTTATGGTGGTTGTAGCACCTACATGATTACATTGATTATGACCTGGGGGCTTGGTAACCTGTTCCCACTTACACCTAGTTGCCACCACTCTGCGATCATGTGATTGCCATTTGCAAAGTCAATAGGGAAGCTGGCAGAAAAGGTTGCTAGCACTGCCAAGAGGACTCTCCCAGATTTCTGGGGGCTGGCTGGAAAAGTCCAAGCAGAATTTTGGCGTGTTTGCAGCATGGTGCATTTGCAATGTGCTTGGATTTTGGGATGGATGCAGTGTGGGGTCTTTTTGCTGTCACCTCAGGAAACGAGGAAGTTGTCTTATCTCCTTGGGGCTGGCTGCAAATGCCCCATGCTGCAAACACACTGTGCTAAAATCCTGCTTGGATTTCAGGATAGACATTTCCAGCCAGCCTTTTTAACAATGAAAGGGTTGCCTTCTGGAGAGATTTAGCCCCCACCCCCCATAGGAGTCAGTATGTCCAGGAGGCAGGTTTTTAACCCTGGAGTACAGGGATTATGATTGTTGAACCAAGTAGTCACATGGTGTCTTGCCTAACTGCTTTGCTCAATGACTGAAGATTTCAGTCTCAATTGTTGTAAGTCAAAGACTACCTGTAGCTTCCAACTTTCCTTACAACAGTTATAAGTACAGCTACAAATTTACCTCTGAACTTTATGACAACATAAGTTTCTTCTTTCTATAATCTACCTTGTCCAATAATCAAAACCATAAATCCTCAAAGTATGTTTTTTCTATTTTCCAGTGATGGCTGTGGCATCATCCAGACATGGGTTGCTTCAGTCAGATCTGCTTTTGGCGGAGTCATAGTTTTTTGACCACGCCCCTTGCTCCTCCCTTTCAGGCCCAGTTTCAACTCAGTTGGTCTGAGAGAAACATCTCTTGCAGATCTGGCTCTCAGCCCTGTTCGATTCCTTTGTTAACTGTAAGTTTTTTGACCTTTTATTTTTATTTTTTTAATTTTATTTTTCCAAGGGTACCGGTCTACCAGGCTATTTAACTATTGGAGCCTACCAGTCTACCCAGTCTCTTTGGAGCGGCCTGGTCTACCAGGCACCTTCTTCGCTCCTGGCGGCTGCCATTTTGGAGGCTCCCTTCACGCGATGGTTCTTTTCCTTATGGTGAAGCTCTTTGAAGCCCTATACCACCAACGAAGGCGCAGGGGCTCCAAACGCTGTACCACCAATATTTAAACAGCGAAACGTGGCAGCAGCTCCAGGATCGCTCTTTTCGGCCGCAGCTGCCTTCAGCATCGCAAATACTGACGATCAGCTGTAGGATGGCCCTTTGAAGCGCTGCGGCAGTTTTTAAAGCAATTTTTGCCGCTTTGCCACCAACAAGTTCAGAGGAGAGGTTTGGAAGACAATTTTAGCCTCAATCCTCTTATACCACCAACAGAGTTTCTTCTGGTGGAGAGTTGCAAGGTCACTCATTGCACTCTCCACGTAGCAATTATCAGCCATCGGTTCCTTGAATCATGGCTGTGGGCGCTAGATAGTGACTGATTCTAGGTGTTACCTGGACAGTCACTTCTTGAGCAGAGTACATCCTGCTTACGTGTGTGCTGGCTGACATCAGTCTTCTCCGACATAGCCGCCACCATTTACTCCTCCATGTGGCTTGGTCATCAGAAAGGGAGGGAGGACTTCTTCATGAAGAACAAGGCACAATTCAAAATCCTTTTGCATGTCAATTGGTTACTCCTACAACTCCTGAATCTGGTAGGATTTTTACAACAACAGCCTCTGCAAGGGAATCTCCCTTACCAGAAAGACCTCCAGAGGACCCATTTAAAAATTTACCAGAAGGATTATAAATCCTTATTAATTAGGTTATTGCCTCTTGCATGGCTGCTGCTTTCCAGGGTGGTCATTCTGGCTCAATAATTTCAGAATGTTCCGTTCAAATCAGAGGCTCTCCTTCAGCTAGCCTAACTGGTTCACATTCTCCTGAAGCTTCCAGAGCAAATGAGGCCTTTGCCTTTGACAAAGAACGTCATTCTGACTTATCAGATGATGAAGGGGTGATTCCAGACACACCTGCCTTTACAGGTTTATTTCCCCCAAATAGATTCAAGTCCTTATTGCATAAGGCACGAATAACTGCTGCAATAAAAGAGGATGATTACCTCAAAGAATCTCAGGAAGCTCAACAGGGACAACCACAGAGTCTTTTTTCTGAGCCTCCTCCTGAACAGTGTTTTATTCCAACCCCACAACTGTTCATAGATGTGGTCAAAAAGCAATGGTCAAGTCCTGCAACCCTATCTTCTGCACATGGGACAGATAAAAAGTATTATTCTGTAGCACCTAGGTTTGCCCAATTATTGCAGGTTCCCCCAGTGGACAGTCCTGTTGCAGCTCTTTCCTCTTCCTCTTCCTCTTCCTATGTGGCAGGGGATACATAGGAAATGGATAAATTTGATAAAGGTATAATTAAAATCAGCAAAATTGCATTTGTGTTTCACATGTATAGCATGTTTTGATTGATTCTCAATTGTGCTTTGCTTATTTGACAGTTTCTCTCATGTGAATTGTCTTGTACCTATTGGTCTTGCAATCCTTCAAAGGGATACTAAAAGTTGTTAATGAGTTTTAAGTGAATACTTAATGCTACATTAATGAAATTCATGGAATGCAGTTGTGTGTGGTCTGCATTTTTCTCAGGCTTGACTTCTGAATCATTTTTGAAGAATGCACAGTTTAAATAATATGCTGGGTAGGAGTTGATGTTTCTAGTTCCCTGGACCACTAGTAGTCCTCGATTTACAACCACAGCTGAGCCCAAAATTTCTGTTGATAAGTGAACAGTTATTAAGTGGTTTTGCCCATTTTTACAACCTTTCTTGCCACTGCAGTTGTTAAATTAGTAACATGGTTGTTAAGTCAATGTGGCTCCCCTATTGACTTTGTCAGAAGGTCACAAAATGACCCCAGGACTCTGAAACCATTATAATTATGAACCAGGTGCCAAGCATCTGAAGTTTGATCATGTGACCATGAGGATGCTGCAGTGGTTGTAAGTATGAAAAACAGTCATAAGTTACTTTTTTCAATGCCTTTGTAACTTTGAATGGTCACTAAATGAATGGTTGTAAATCGAGGACAACCTGTAATCAGTAATTTTTATACTACTAGCTATGATACTCTTCTGGCATAGACATCTGTGTCTATCACAGTGATGTCAAAATCATGGTACCACAACAATATCCTTACCTAATCTGTTTTCACATGATGATGTCTGATACAAATGCATAACTCATGATTTGCATGATGATGTCATGATATACAGTGTGAGCTATTGTCTCTCTGTATATGGCTATGCCTTCTGAATAGAATCTGGGAACTGAAAATTTGGGACTTGATAAAAAATATAGATACTGTTCTGAGGTGTTATAAGTCTGCTAATGATACCGGTACTGTGTTTTACTCTCTTTAACTTTGTTCAGTGTAGATACTAAATATGTTCTGGTTTAGACAGTAGCATGATTAATAATAGTTTGAGGGTTTCGTATTCAGGATAGTTTGGATGGAATTTCAGTTGAGGAAGGAGTAGTGTTTATTAGTCATATTGCCAATATTTCATTTTTTTCAATGAAATATTTGCATAGACTATTCTGTAAAGAACTGGTGCTTTCTTGTGGTTTATGCCTGAACCAAAAGATTCCTGTTTGTTTTGGATATAGAATAAAAACACAGTTGTTTTTTTATATAGTCCAGAGATGGATGAAAACATACCGTATTTTTCACACTATAAAACACAATTTTTCTCCCCCCCCAAAAAAGTGGGGGGAAATGTCTATGTATCTTATAGAGTGAATACTGGGGAGGGGTTGGGATGGTGGCGGCATTTGGCACCTCCGCTGCCTGTCACTGCTGTTTGCTGCCTCCAGGGAATGCTGGAGCCTTCGCTGCTGAGCAGCTGAGCAGCGGCTGGATCGGCCTCCCAGAATACCGCTGAGCAGCTGTTGTAGGCGGCAGCAATTTGTGGCGGCAATCCACACTGCCTAGAACAACTTGATCAGTGCTATTCCGGGAGGCTGATCCAACCGCCAATCAGCTGCTCGGCAGCAAAGGCTCCAGTGTTACCTGGCAGTGGCGGCAGCTCAGCTCAGTTGACCGATGGTGGGCGCAGCGGAGCAGAGCCCTGACGAGCCATGTGCTGGGGCTGCGATAACATGCTGAAGCTGACCGGGCTGTTTGCTGCAAAGATGCTAGCCAGCTGAATACTGGATGGATGCTGGGAGGCAGAAGCAGATTTTTTTTCTTGTTTTCCCCCTCTAAAACTAATGTGTGTCTTAGGGTCCGGTACGTCTTACAGTGCAAAAAATACAGTACTTCCAAACAGAACTGGTAAAGAACCAATGGATACTGTTTGGAGTATGTTTCCAGTAATCATAACAGAAGTAGTGTAGCTTCTTGTATTATTGGGATATTGGAGAGCTGCTGTGTCCTGCGTAGACCTCAGAGCCTGTACCCCTCCCTTCTTTCACTATTTGGACATCTGTACCAGCTGAGGGGGAGGGAGGGAAGGAAGGAAGGAAAATTCATGGGCAGGCTGGCTAGAAAGAAATATTCTACTGGGAACTTCTTTTTCTACTGAGTAACAAATGAACAGACCCTTTGGAAAAGGCAATGGCAGATGACAGTTTCATTTGTACTAATCTTGATCAGTGAAATCATACCCAAGATCTCTGTAGGTTTTGTTTTGGCCAGAAGATAGAAAAACAAAACCATTCCAGGTTTTGTTTTTGCCGAAGTTCAGTGGAATTTCCAGAAATCACAGTATTTGTTTCTGGGTTGAAACAGTGTATTTTCCACTTTGTGTACAATTCTAGTGGAAATACATGAAAGAGTATGATACTGAGTCCTCATTCTGATATTTTTCTACTACTGTAGTTTCCTTGCAGCTGTTTATTAGGATAAAATTTAAAACTAAATAGGTAAAATTAAAAAAAAAAACAGTTTCGCTACAATTTTTCCAAATAAAGTTTTTAAGTTTTCCTAGAACAAAAGAGACCATAGTTCTATAACCAATCTCTTTAAATTATTACTTTATAACTAATCCATAAATTAGTGTTCAGCATGTATGTAATAAATTTGCTTATGTGTGAGAGAAAGGTTTGCTTTGTAAGCTTTGTTTATACAAGAATTTCATTTGTTGTATCTTCACTAAGCATTGCCATCTTATTTTTAAAAAATTAATTTGACATTCACTATTCAAATGAAATTGGAAACAGCATTTTCTATTCTCTTTGCAGAAATACAACTGAGCGACAGACACAGATTGTAATACGACTTCTGAATGTATAAGTGATATCTGATAAGAATCTCCTTTTCTAATCAAGGAAGAATACTGCAACAAAAAATTGAATTTTATTAACTCCAAGCCTTGATAACGTATTGGGACATTGTTATGAGAATATTTTTTCATTCCGTGGTGATTTTCCTACATGCTGCCTAGTTGATAATAAATTCATTCAGAATGTGAATTGATGGAAGAAGATGTTTTGTTAAGCATGTGTGAAGATAATTCGTTTCATGTTCGTTACAGGTAGGCATATATACTAATTTTTAATACATTGAAAAATTAACTTAAGGCTTGCACCTGAATGCTTACTTTAATTATTCACAATACTTCAGTTGCTCAGTATATGTATGATTAGTTATCCCATTATATGCATTTTAATTGCAAAATTAGAGTTCATCCATGATTAACCTTTTCCAGATGCTTGTAAGCTCTTAACAATACTCTTTTTTCTTTAATGTTTCAAATTTTGCTTGAAGCTTCCTTATTTTTATCTGTGCTGAGCCAAGCTATAGAACTACATATGTGAGGAATGGTGTTTAACAGATGTACTTGGTACATTGTTTTAAGAGTAATTTAATGTGAAAGGTAGTCTGTTTTCATTGCCCATCCCTGTTTGTTCATCTAGGATAAAATGAATCTTGCATTTGTAACACTATTATCATATGGACCTTATTTATCTAAAAAAACCCTATAGACTTGCCAAAGTTACTAAGATAAATCTGCAATAGTGAGTTTACACATATGGATTTATTTGCTGCAGCCTCTACTCCCATATTTTCTGGGCTGAAGGTAATATTAGTTCAGTTCAAAAACACTGGAATTTTCACCTTTTATGCCTTTAGTCACTACATGAATCATCTGTTTTATTATTTATATGTCCTTTGTTTCTGTATGTTTTTATTATGTTTATTATCTTCTAAAACAACAGTGTTTGTGCTTAAAAATATGTGTAGTGTTTTTATCCAGAACCAAAAATATGGTTTGTATCAGGCATAGTAATGCATTCCTTGCTGGCGAGAGTATCCTTAAAGAAGCTGCATGTTCTCCTGGGCTGTCATGGAGCCACACAATTGAAGGAAAGTACAGTTTATATTTAAGGAGATCCAGCTGGCTCTTCCATAGCAATGCCAAAGAATGTAAAAGACTTTTTTAAACAGAGCAAAGATAGCAATCTGAGAGGAATACTATAATAAAGAGCCACTGGCTTGGTAACAATTTGTTTGGTTTTGTTTCTCAAAACTATGTTTAAATGATTATTGAATTACAGTAGCTTGCTTGGTTTAAATGATTATTGAATGACACTTTTTGTATTCTAAAGTAATAGAAATTACAGTATTTCCAAATAAAATGGACTAAAGCTTGAAAAGAATTAAAAATTGGGAGTATTTTTTTAAAAAGGATAAATTGTTGAATGACGTCTGAACATAAATACAGGAAATGATATGAGCAAAATGGGTTGATTGTTTAGATGCAAAACCAAGCATCTTAAGCAAAAGTCTGGTGCAAATATTTACACTGCATCCATAATATCAATATACTTAGAATCCAAAACAAGGCTGCAGTGTGATAAATTGTTGCTTGTCTTGGTTTATACAAACAAATGGAGAAAGGTTTTTAAAGTACCATATACACCTGTCTGTACAGGGCTTCAGCTTTAAATAAATTCAAAGACTGAACACTTTGATAGCTCTACTAAAAACATTTTTGAAGGATGATAGTTGTATAAGGCAGCTATGCAGTCCCAGGAAAAAACAATGTTTTAAAGAAATGCAGTCCTGTACTATATTTGTATCTTCAAACCCACAGTACTGCAGAGCTTTATCCTACATTACCTAAATTGTATTATTTATTGAGTACTTGGTTATATAATAATTGTTCATAGAAAAGACAGAGTAGGAAGCTGTTTTCATAGGTACATAAGGCTAGAGGGAACCATTTAGATAAAAGTCCAAATTCTTGTTTTGTGCAGTAATTCCAATTAATATATGGATTACAAATGTTTATCCAAACCTACATACATACACTCAGCAAAGAATGAAAATTGGCTCAAATTGTTATAATGGTAGGATTTCTGCCCTAACATTCAAAGAATTCTGTTTTTCTTTAGCTTAAATGTGTTATTCCTTGTCCTAAAATCTGAAGTAATAGGAGACAGATTGACCTTCTATGTGATATTTTTTAAGGTACTGCACCTGCTCCCCCCCCCGCCCCCGTTCCCTCAAGACAAAACTTTAAAAAGTTATTTCTTAGTTTCCAGGCTTGGAAAAGTTTTCATTTTCTGTTTCAAACTTATTGCACTTTGCCTGAGTCCTCCTTAAAATTAGGAACTAAGAACTAAGTGATTTGGAAATTAATACAGTGAAAATTACAATTTCCTTCTTTGCTACTGTATTACACAGCATTACTGTATTACACTGTATTAAAAGCATTTGTGTGTGTGTGTGTATTTATATTTGTATAAACATATATAACATATAAACACACAGTACATATATACATACTTGCAAGCCAAAAATGAATTAGTGGTATGAGGGGATTACACAATTTATTGTTTCATTAATAGGATTGTACCTTTTAGGTATGGAGTGGAATATATTTAATTTTAATTGGATGTGACATTTAGCATAAGGTGCCCGGAGAGAACCTCTCTGGAGAGGAGAGGATTAGTTAACATTACCCTACTAGAGGATTAAATCTTTTGTTATTGCAATTATAACAGTGCTATAGTCAATTTTGTTATATCATTTTAATAAAATAGAAGAAAATACCTGTTGGCTGTTTCTGAGAAATGCTATAGGTATGTTATAGGTAGGCAAACTGGGACACTTCAGGGGCAAAATATAAATTTTACTTTTCCTGCACAAGCTAAGAATGTCTGTCATATCGATGTGCTTAGGCTGCAGAATGTCGAAAGCTAAGAGGTATAGTATTCCTTCAGTAATTTCATTTTATATGTGATCTCTAATTGTGATTTTATCAAAAACTTATCAAAATACTGAGGAAGTAGACCTTCTATTCAGAATGATTTTCTTTCTACAAGGGAGCATTTGAAACATAGTTATATGTATATTATATATGCCCTAATTTCTCAGTTATGTATGACTTCCTTATAGCTTTTCCAAAATGTAGCTTTTCCTTTAAATGATTGTGCTAATTTTATATGTACATTTATGTCATCTTTAATTCAACAAATTCTTTGTATTATACTAAAGTAGAAATAGTAGCTTCATACACTATTTGATATGTTTCATGGTGGTTAAAAAAATAAAAGGCAGTTTAAGATTGAAAAACATTAATATAGTTATGGTATTTGTTTGCACATTAAATAGTTGATATGAAAGATTATTTTTATAAAAGTTCATAGGGCATTAGGAAAATAGGGAGCGATGATTATCTTATTCAGAATATGCGCAGGATAATTACATGTTGCATCATACTATGTGATAATTTCTCAGTGTTCTTTTTTTTAAAAAAAAGATATGGTTGATTGCACAGTAAGCCAGATGCTGGCATTTTTATTATTACAAGTAGAAAGATGGTTGAAGAGAAGCTTTAATGGCTGGATCCTGTGCATGGTGCAGTCTATCTCCAAAAGTTGCTTAAGTACTACCATTCCAGATTTTTAATTCTGCTCAAATTTGCTTATAATCCTATATAGCATTTCAAGCCAGGCAAAGAGGAGAATGGAGACCAGGAAAATAAGAACCAAGAAAGCCCCTTAAATGCCATTATTACAGGTAGTTCTTGGTTACAATGGCCATTGAGATTGAAATTTGCGTTGCTTAGCAATGCGGTCATAAACTGTGAGATCATGTGACTACTATAATTAATGAGTGACAGCAATCCCAGCAGTCCTGGTTGTTATTGTAGTCCCAGGACTGCAGAGATTGATAAATGGGAAGAGGCAGAAGTGCCATGCCAGTGGGTGTGCAAAGGGCCACTTCTAGAAGGTACTCCGAAGAATGGGTGGGTGCCATGGGAAGGTGGGCTGCAGTGGATAGATGCTATGGAGTGTGGATGGGCAAAAAAGCAGGAGAGAGAGCAATTTCCTGCCAGCTTCCCTACCATTCTGGTAGATTTGAAGATCCATGTCTGGGAAAATTTCCTGCTTGTAGAAGCTCCTGGGAATGAAAAAAATCATGATCATGTAACCGTGAGGCATAGAATTTCAAGGACTAGTCATAAATATCACTCATTCAGCACTGTCATTAACTTGGAATGGTTGCTGAAAAAGTGGTCATTACTTGAGCACTACCTGTGTTGCTGTTGATAACTCAATACTACATACAGTATTCCACCAGCACACTTACCCTCTCATTAGTTACTACCTACTGCCAATACCCAATGGCCTTCCTCCTTTTCTAACTGGGACTAATAAGAATATATTTTAAACTTGTGATGCAAAAATGAATGCTTCAGTAAGTACTTGGAATTCAATAAGTATTTGAAATAAATTAATATGTTTCTATTTTGCTTCAATGACTACTAGAGGAAATAATCATTATTTTAAAACACAAATTTTGTTACGTTTCATATTTATAGAATGGAAGCATCATGCCTGGAGCTTGCCTTGGAAGGGGAACGTTTATGTAAAGCAGGGGATTGTCAAGCTGGGGTATCTTTCTTTGAAGCTGCAGTTCAGGTTGGAACAGAAGACTTAAAAACACTCAGTGCTATTTATAGCCAGTTGGGCAATGCCTATTTCTACTTGCATGAATACACAAAAGCTTTGGAATATCATCATCATGATTTAACTCTAGCAAGGTAAATGCAGATTTTGGTACCTTTATGTCAGCCCTTCAAGATGGGCGAGTTCAAGAAACAACAGCATGGATATCAGTAATACTCTTTATTGTAGTAAAATGGAATGACAAACTCTTGAAAGCCTTTTCCTGTCTTACACTAAGCCTAGTCAAGGTGGGGTTACAGTATTTTGAATTTCTTTCTTACACATCCTTCCATTTTAGGACTATGTAACTTCTCCAAGCCAACCTTAATACTCATTGTTCCTTCTTCCCATAATAATAGCCTCATATTTTTTCCAACCGCTATAAAGTTATACTTTATCTAGATATTATCACTTTTTGTGATAATGATTAAAAATTTGTTCAATTAAATATTGCTCAAAATTGCTCCATCTCATAAGACTTAGCTGTTGGATAGGGCAGATTATCTTAGTCATGAAGTGAACCACTCAGAATAATAGATAGGAAAGTTTTATACTTCAGGACAATGATGTGTAATTTATCTTAGGCATATTATATTCACAAGAAATGACATACAGGAATTAAACCCTCAGAATAACATTACATTACTTTTAAAATATATTTTACACTATATAATTGGGTATCTGATCCTCTGACTTCTAAAATAAATTCCAGATATTTTTATCTGGAACATAGTATATCCACGGTATAATGTTATGCTTATAAGTGTGAAGTACAGTTTAGCCAAACATATAAAATATGTCCAAATACATTCATTTGCACTCATGTTTATATGGAATATATTCTTTTCCCAATATGGATCACAAGGTGTTGTTTTACCCTTTTTATCTTTTCTAATGATTATACATTAGTTGGGAATACTGGTAGATTTGAAGATCTGTATCTGAGAAAAAATGAACTAGAAAAAATAAATAATGATTATACTGAGTTAGGATAATTAAGACTGGGGGTAAAAATGTTTAAGTATAAGTGTATAGTTGCTGCCACTTTATTAAACTTGCTGCCAAGTTTAATAAAAATGTTTCTGCTACTCAAGATTGAGCTGACTTTTAACAGAAAAGCAGGAGGACTGACTAAATGTTCAATTTTCAGAACAATTGGGGATCAACTAGGAGAAGCTAAAGCTAGTGGCAACTTGGGAAATACCTTAAAGGTCCTTGGGAATTTTGAAGAAGCAATTGTTTGCTGTCAGAGGCACCTTGATATTTCAAGAGATCTAGGTGATAAGGTAAGAAAAATCACTACAATCAATATTGGAAGAAAAAACACTGTGTATTCTTTGAATACTGTTACAAATTTAGGATGAACCTGATATCAGCAATAGAATAATACTGTTTTGATAAAGTTCTTCAAGCTTATTATTTGGTTGTGATGGTATCTTTAGATCTTGTCTCACTGACCCAAACTAAAAAAATAAATCAGAAGATATTCTTGCTATCTTTCTTCCTGCAGTAGTATTGTGGAGATCAAGAAGTATCTTTTGGAAAATGAACAGGCTTTGGAGAAAATATTGTTCTTTGACATAATACAAAACTCATAAATATGTAAGATGTGAACAGAGGATAGTGTGGGGATAGTATATAATAGTAAAAATGTAAGCCCTTGACTTAAAACCCCAATTGAACCCAAAATTTCCTTTCTGAGAAAGAGTGTTATTAAGTGACTTTTGCCCCATTTTATGACTTTTCTTGCCATAGCTGTTAAAGAATCATTGGGGTTGTTAATAACGTGATTGTTAAGTGAATCTGACTTCCCCATTAACTTAGTTTGTCAGAAGATCGCAAAAGGTGATGATTACCTGACCACTTGATTCCTTACAACAGGAAATAAGAGGTTTTTCTGTTCAATTAAGTGAGTAGCTATATAGCAGTGTTGGTGAACCTTTTCGGCACCGAGTTCTGAAATGGGAGTGCGCGTGTGTGTGTGATGGAAACCGGAAGAGCAGCCGCCCGGCGTGCACATGTGCACTAGGCGGTTGCTCTTCAAGTTTCCGCTGGTCCCACGTGTGTGAAGACCAGCTGGCTGGTGCGCCGAAACCCGGAAGAGCAACGGACGACGGCTCACATGTCCAGAGAGATGGCTCTGCATGCCACTTCCGGCACGTGTGCCATAGGTTCGCCATCATGGCTATACAGCATAAGAACCTTTAAGAAAATATTTTATTTGTATTTATAGGTGGGAGAAGCAAGAGCTTTGTATAATCTTGGAAACGTGTATCACTCCAAAGGTAAAAGTGTTGCCTGTGCAGGTACCCATGATCCAGGGGAATTTCCAGATGATGTTAAAACTGCCTTGAGGAAAGCTGCAGATTATTATCAGTAAGAAAAGCTTTAGTAATGGATTAATGTTTCAAAGTGGATACAGTTTTTAATCATCCTTTTTATAATACATTAAAATGTGTTATTTTAATTCTTTTAAAGCCACTTTTATGATGTTAATGCATAAAAATTGGAAGAGATAAAATTTAGATACAACTAAGTATAATTTAAAATTTCAATTCTATTTTTTCTGTAGTAGTGACTTAAATAAGATGAATTGTCTAAGAAGGAAAAGTAAGAACTATTGGACAGCAGCCATCAATATTGTTACTATAATTTATAATCACAGGTGATTTAAGGACATCATCTTAAGAGGATGGCAAATAGTAATATATAATGAACATTAAATCAATCTTCATAAAATGTTTTCTTTTGAATTAGCAAAAATTATTTTTCATAATGTTACTTGTACATTTCTTCCATTATAAACCTATTAATTTGTTTTTTAAAACTTTGAATATTAAATAGGGAAAACTTGACAATTGTAACAGAATTGGGGGATAGAGCTGCCCAAGGACGTGCCTATGGAAACTTGGGAAATACACATTATCTTCTGGGCAACTTCCGAAGTGCTGTTACTGCCCATGAACAGGTATAAGAGAGTGCATGTTGGTGTGTTCTGGTTCGTTGTAGTTTATATTATTTGTTTAAAAAGTACATTTACTGCATTCGGATAAAGCTAGTGAAGCATATACTATTGTTTCCTTGGTTTCTCATATGAAATATATATAGAAAGATGGATATTCAAGGAAATATCTATAATATTTATAAAAGAAAGCTAAAATGTACTCTTTTTAAATAGTAATCAGGAGATTATCTGATATAGATTTATTATGCATGTGATATTTTAAAGTGCATTATTGGGCTGAAAAACAGATACTACTATGAACTGTTGAAGACAGGTAAAGGTGTTCCCGCGGGTTTTACCTCACTAGTCATGACCGACTTTAGGGGTGGTGCTCATCTCAATTTCTTAAGCCAAAGAGCCATCATTGCCTGGAGATGTTTCCACGGTCATATGGCCAGCATGACATCATGTTGCATCACAGAGTGTACAATGAAACATGGAACGTTGTTGCCTTCCAGCCTGCTTTTGGAGACAGAGGACTTTAAAATTATTTTCTGTATATAGTAATTCTTGACTTACAACTAATTGCTTAGTGATTGTTTGAAGTTGCGATAGACCTACTGGGAAGCTACTTAGGAATTGAATTGAAGTTCCAGTGGTTGTCCCCTCCCCTTGCAGTCACATGACTGAATTTTTGGCACTTGGCAACCAGCACTCATTTACATCTGTTTGCAGTGTCGCATGACTGCATTTTATGATGCTTTTGCTGAAAACCAGCATTTACTTCCGTTGTTTTTTTTTTTGCAAAAAACCCATGGCAAACAACTGGTTTGCTTAAGAAGTGCAGTGTTGCTTAACAACTGCTGTGAAAAAAGGTCCTAAAATCAGGTCAGTCACATGCCTAACCTTAATTTACAACAGTCACGACTTACAACCGTGATGGGCAGAATCCTTTATAGTAGTAATTCGAGGATTCCCTGTAAAAATATGTTTTAGAAAGGGAAAAAGAGTGAATCTTAGTATTCCTTTCGTGATTTATTCTGGCAATAACATTGAGCATTGTTACAATAATTAACAGGCTAATTCTTTTCCAGCGCCTTTTGATTGCAAAAGAATTTGGTGATAGAGCTGCAGAAAGAAGAGCCTACAGTAATCTTGGAAATGCCTATATTTTCCTGGGAGAATTTGAAACTGCTGCTGAATATTATAAGTTAGTTTGAGTATTGTTTTATATTATTTTATTAATACATTTACTCTGATTTACTGAAGTCTTAAAATCAGATCTTTTAAGTTTTCATTCTGAAATATGTATAATTTTATTAGCATTAGCTATTTCAAAATAATACTTATTTGTTGTCTTTAACTGTTCTTGGCTACATTTGTTTTCATCATTTTATTTTCATAAAACATTATTGCTTAAATTTGATATGTAAGAAAATAAATGCAACTTTATCCAGTCATAATTCTATAAAATATGTTATAAATATAAAATACTAAAGCTGATAGAATATCTATTTGAATAGTTAGGCTTTTCCTGTATTTGAGCTATGAACATGCAGTATACTTGAACCATCTTATCTGAGTTTCTTCCCAGAGACAGAAAGAATTGCCACAGTTAGGCCTAAATTGATTCACTGAATGCAATAAGGCTCACTCCTACAAAAGCATGTACAAAATGGCACTAAACACCACTGCTATTCTATACATAAAACAGAATATAGCTTTTATTGAAAATAAAATACGACGTAAATCCTATCCCAGAGATTAAGACATGATGTTTAAATTTGTTTTTCAGTGCTAATGGCATTTGAAACAGAGCTGCTTTAGCTGATTGGAAACAAAACAAAACAAAACAAAAAAACCCTCATCTGGTTATATAAACACTCTGAGAACTTTAGGTGGTAGATATCTGCAAAATTTTCTCCCTGGTAATTCTGCAAAAGTACCATTATTTTTTATTTGCAACTGATTACTCTGTGTGGTATTTCATTTATATTCCTTAGCAATGTAACTTGATTTAATTTATAAGGCTAGGAATTATAGCACATTAAGTATCTTGCTTGGGATCATTCAGTGCAGATAGAGACTTCTTGGAAAGGGAAATACTGGTTGTTCAAGCTGGCTTTAAAAAAAACAAAAAAAAAAGAGATTATTGCTGATGCATACTGGATAATTGAGAAAATTGAATAATAGCAAAAAGAAATATTATAAATGCCCATAATGATTGTCTAGCTTTCCTGACATGCTGATTACTGTCACTTCCACATATTCCACTGATTATTATTTATCACATTAATTGGTTGACAAATAGGTAAATGACAGCAAAACATTTTCAGTATTAATGTATGCCATAATATATACCAATTAGAAAAGGATAATTTGTTTAATTTTTAAAATATTTTTCCAGTTTATTTAAAGAGTAGTGGTATATATTGCATTGAATTTTATAATTGATCTAGTAAATCTCATTACTGTACATTACTGTATTCTGAAACATTGACTATGGTGATTTGAATCGTATAAGTAAACATTGTATCTGTTTGTCATTTAGGAAAACATTACAGCTTGCAAGGCAGCTTAAAGATAGGGCTGTGGAAGCACAGGCGTGTTACAGCCTTGGAAATACCTATACCTTACTTCAGGATTATGAGAAGGCCATAGATTATCATCTGAAACACTTAGCAATTGCTGAAGAACTAAACGACAGGTAAGAGTTTTAAATTAATTGCTATATAGTAATACAGTTTTTGTTCTCTCTAGAAATATTGCTTTATTTGTATAGACAGAGTCTCCATGCTAAATGTTTTAATAGAGGATTGTAGTATTAATTGCAATAATAAAGATATTCTGTCTGTTATTGGAGGAGTTTGCTCCTATGTTAGTTTTTTGGAGCACAAATCAAAGATTTGAGGTTTTCTATTGGCATTTGGGTACCAAGTGGAATCAAGGATTATTCTTATATGAGCTCAACTGCGCAACTTTTTTGGCACTAATATGGAAGTGATCTGTCAGATCTTTTAAAATTTCTCCATTATAAACTTTTTTGGAAAGCTTTTTTCAACAGAAAATGAAGCATTTTTGAACTAGGGAAGATAGTAAGTAATGTGATGTTTAATTTTTAAAATATTCCAATAATTAATTAATATGTATTCTGTGCTTAGTGTGCTTTTTATATCTTAAGCTTTGTAGTTGCCCAGCAATTTGTTAATTCAAATATTGCTATAATTTTAAAAGACATTTTAAGACTTTACATTGAGACAGGCAAAACAAATCAATCTGATTTTGATAAATGTAATTAGAGTAAAGTATAGTTAATATGATAAATTAAAATTAATGTACCTTACATATATTTGTTTTTCTCCTGTTAAAGATTAAATCCAACAATAAATTCTTAGAATGAGTTTGGAGACTATGATTAAGGTCTTCAACTGTACATATCTATTTAAAATCATTTATATATTTACATGTATTTAAAAGCTCTCTTTTATTTTTAAATAGAGTATTTGATATATATATTATTGAACTGTGTTCCAGAATTGGTGAAGGAAGAGCATGCTGGAGTTTAGGGAATGCATGCACAGCTTTGGGGAACCATGATCAAGCTATGCATTATGCAGAAAAGCACTTAGATATTTCAAGAGAGGTATGTGCACATATTCTTAATTCTTGGTTGTGTGCATTTTTCAAATAAAACAGTGTATGTACTGTATGTAATTGGAATAAATAGACTGAATAAAATTAAGGAAAAACAGACTGAAAGCTTGAGGGCAGGGATTGTTTTGGTTTTATATTTTGTTAGCCATTCTAAGATTGTTTCAGAATGATAAGTGTGATTCACATATTTTAAATAAATAAAATCATTTACATAAAACATGTAATATCTTTGATTGCAGGTTGGAGATAAGACTGGAGAATTAACAGCTAAACTTAATCTCTCAGATCTTCAAATGGTACTTGGTCTTAGTTTCAGCACAAACAACTCAATGATGACTGAAAATCAGATTCCAGATTATAACTTGAATGGTAAATATGCCCAATAAATTTTAGTATTCTTCTTTATTAACCTTCAGTTCTTTATTATTTTCTGTATGATTACCAAAATGTGAAACGCACCTGCAAAGAACTACATTCAAAACATTGTAGAGCAGGGGTGTCAAACTCGATTACATTGAGGGCTGCATCAGGGTTGTGTTTGACCTTGGGGGGTCCAGGGTGGGTGTGGCCAGGATGGGCCTGATCAATGACACTCGTGTTGGGGGCACCTGTGGTGGCCCAAGCGCTCTGTCAGTGAAAATGGGCTCCCGAGCTCCGTTTACGGCTATGACAGCTTCCTGCAACCCTCTGCCACTGAAAACACAGCTCGGGGGGGGGCCACCCGCAGCCTCGTGAGCTCTGTTTTTGGCTGCGGCAGCATCTTGCAATCCTCTGCCAGCGAAAACAGAGCTTGGGAGGGCCGCCTGCAGCTCTCCCATGCTCTGTTTTGCTGGCAGAGGCACCGCGGGCTGGTCCTTTGCTGTTTCCAGGGCAGCCTCACGGCCAGATCTAAGCCCCCCAAGGGCTGGATCTGGCCCCCAGGCCTTGAGTTTGACAACCCTGTTGTAGAGTTTTTAAAGTTTATTGAGAATCTTGCTTCCTGTGCATATCATATTAGCTGTGCCATTGTGTTCATTGTCTTTTTAACTCCCCCATTTTTAGCACATTTTATTCTTGAGCTAATTGTCATTTTGCTTTATTATTTAATCTTTTTTTCTCAATTTTTTTTCTTATCTTTGACTTATCTCAGCTATCCCTCAAAACTCTTCTGTATTATTCATTGGAACATCTTATCTTCCCACAGACATTTGGCCTTAATAGTCCTATTTTGCAAGTGCCTGCATTACAGAAATACACTTATCTCTCAACAGGAATAAACTTTTTAGGCTCAGTGAAAATTTTACAGTAGATACACGTAAGTGCTGCCAGGCACTTAGGAAACAGATTCATGGCAATTTTTCTTATTTATGACCTGCTCTTCTTTCATACTTTTTCTGTGTTCCTAAAATTGTATGGTGGTTCCTTCATCCCTTTGAGAAACCAGTAAAGTTTTCTATTACCTATGGAAGAATGTATGTTCTCTACTGCCATTATCAGTGCTAAAGAAATCACCTATTGAGGATGCTAACCAGAATCTGTTGAAAATGACTAGGTTGCTATATGAGTGTATTGCTAATTAACAATAAGTCATGAGTTTCCAAATCCTGGTTTATAATTCCATGTGAACATAATTTATATGTAATTCCTTGCTTTTCATCACTCTATTTTTATTGTATATGATTTTAGAGTTTTTATAACATTTTGTAGAGTTATAAGTAATGATGGTATAAAGAGAGAGTGAGTATAAATCCTTTGTTCCTGTCCCTTGGTTTATCTCCACACAAGTTACTTTCTCTAGAATGGCTACTCTCTTTTTGATTTGTTTTCTAATAACAAAAACATAATTTGTCTATTTCTACAAGTCACTTTATTCTCAAGTAATAATG